GGTTTAAATAAACTAAGAAATCATTGTTTTCGGATTTCGATTCCGAAACTTGGTACAAGTCCGAAATATCAGTTAAGACTTACCCGTAAAATTTGGTGTCAATCCGGGTAGTTTAAGGGCGTTTTGACCCGTTGGAGGAGAATTAAGAACTTGAAGTTCAATGATTTGATTCATTTGGTTTTGGGGTTGATTCCTCGATTTAGCGTTGTTTTGAGTGTTTCGAGGGTTCGAGTAGGTCCGCCTCGTGATTTCAGACTTGTCGGTATGTTCGGGCGGGGCACGAGAGCCTCGAGCGTCAAACGAGCGAGGCTCGAGTGAAGTTAGAATTTGGAAAATGACTGAAGCTTGCTGCTTCTGTCATAACCGCATCTGCGGTTCTTAGACCGTAGAAGCGGGACCGCAGATGCGGTCATTAGATCGCAGAAGCGGAGAAGGGGCAGGCCAGGGGAAACCGCAAAAGTGGCCCAGGGACCGCAGAAGCGGTTCCGCCTATGCGGCCCCCAGACCGCAGAAGCGGTCGAGCCCCAAATCCCAAAAGCCGCAGAAGCGGCCAAATTCCGCAGAAGCGGAAATACTTCGCAGATGCGAAAATAACTGGGGGTAGAAGGGTTCATTTAATACGAACACAAACTCATTTCTCTCATTTTTCACTCTACACTTAGGCGATTTGGGATCTTCCAAGAGAGGGTTTCCACATAACTTGGTAAGGTAAGTAATTTCCCTTCATCCTTAGCTTAAATACATGTATATTAGGTAGATTAAACTCAAAAAATTTAGTAAAAATCATGAATTTGAGCTAGACCTAGGGTTTTAATAAAACTAAGAATTTATCATAAAAATTTGCCATGTAATGAACTAGAAATCATATATTTGTGATCCTTAGGTGATAGAGAACATCTTCTTTAGAAAAATCTCGGAATCCGGGTACGTGGGCCCGGGGTTGGAATTTAGGAAACTTGTGTTAATGGTTAGAAAATTGCCTAAATAGTTAGAGTTCGACCTTATAAGCCTTTATTTACTAGTTCTTACTTCGTTTGATTAGTTTGGGATTGTTCGGCTTCGAATTAAGGACTTGGGCTCGTTCTTGGACATTGGAAGTGCACTTTGGAGCAAGGTGAGTCTCCTTTCTAACCTTGTAAGAGGGAATTGTCCCCATGGGATTATAAATGAGTAATTGTTGTTAAATGCGGGGGCTACGTACGTACTAGGTGACGAGAGTCCGTGCGTAGCTACTATAATGATAATTGTTCGGGTAGTTTAGGACCCACGTCATGTCTAATTGGGGAATATTTCTTGGTTTAAATTGCCAATATGATCATTTATGATTTGCTAGAGACTTGAGGAAATGAAAAGTGAACTTATGAGTTTGTTGAGTCTTGGTAGGAATTCCCTTGTATGTAATTGAGCCTTATGTGCTTTCCTGATATTTTCTTGATGATTATGGACCGGGCCGATCGCCTAGGTGAGAATAGATGCATCTATGGTTCGTGCCGCTCGACCCTCGGCAGTGCACAATTTATTTTCTGTTGGAGCGGGCCGTCGACCTCGGCATGATTGTACATCATTTATATGCTTACATTTAGATATGACATGATCACTTGTTTAATATGAAAAAGGGAAAACTGGTAGTTTAATTATGTCAAGAACATGAATATGACTCTTCTCTTAAACTTGTCTTATTGGAAATTCTTCATGCTGTATATCTCACTTTATTATTATATTATCTGGACCTTAGTAAGTGTCAAGTCGACCTCTCGTCTCTACTTCTTCGAGATTAGACGGGATACTTACTGAGTACATGTGGTTTATGTACTCATACTACGCTTCTGTACTTAAATGTACAGGATTTGAGGCAGGTGGATCTGGACATCATCCCGGTGCGCATCAGTGAGCACGCTTGGGGACTTCTACAGTGAGTTACTTCTCTTTCATGCCGATCCGCAGCCGAAGAAGTCCTTTCTTGTACTTTTTGTTTCTGTCTATCCTGATTCAGACAGTAGGATAGTGTATTATTCTTTTGTGTATATTCTACTAGTCGCCCGTAGCTTCTGACACCAGGTTCTGGCACACACAGTAGTAGACATTTATTTTGGGGTTGTATCGCTATTTTAGCACTTTATGATCTTTACTGGTCTTATCTTTAAATTCGAAAATCTAGTATAACTGTCTTTGGCTAAAGTAAAATGAGAACTTAATCACATTCTGCATCGGCTGGCCTGACAACGGTGTTAGGCGCCATCATGACCTATTATGGAAGATGGGTCGTGACACAAGTAATGTACGAAACTATGGAAAATTATAGCCCCACATCCATACCCCGCACTTAACCATTGCTCGTCCTCGAGAAATCAAACTACACTTATAGACACAACCTTTTTAAACAATCCTCCTAACTCATTACACCAAGAATCTTTAAAATAGACTAAGCACAAGGGTGTAAGATCTTCACCTCAAGATTTGACTCACAAGTACCATGCATTATTTCACAATTCACTCACTCACTATAACATAGAGGTCAATGACATTACCTTTCCTTCATGAATCAAGTGCCCTCACACAACAAAAGAGAGTATTCCACACACAATAAAATTTAATAACAATTAGGAACTCAAGATAGAAAGAATTCACTCACTCTCAGAAATAACACTCATATGCTACAAAAGATGCACCATAGGCTTGCCCGTAGTGTAATACTCGACTAATCGAGCTCATTCAGTCTAGGATCTAGTAGGACTTTCATTGGTTGTAATGTAGGCTGTGGGTTGGGTAGGATATATTTGGATATGAGTTACTACACCTCCCTAAGTACTTTAATACAAATACATTAACATTTAAACCCATACTTATGTCAAACAATAACTCCACCTTACATCAATGTATATTAGCTCCATATTTCTTTAAGCACAATTACATCAAGAGTCACCACTGTCACGGAATACTTTCAAAGTAATACAACTATATTTTTTTTTCTTTTTCAATTCAAGTGGCTCTTACTTTTTCAAAACAGTGCACCTTTCTCCTTATTTCATTAGTTCCGTTCAAAAGCCAAACCAACCACCCCACACATTAACTTTTACAAAGTTCATAACAATTCAAGTGCTCATGAGAGGTGAAAAGGTTCTAACAGATGATTAATTCAAACAAATGGGAAAGGCTTGTAATGTGGTTGCCAAAGAAACAGGATTACAGGCTCAACGGGGTTAACTACGATACATAACAATTAGGCGGGTAAATTATATATATTTGGCTCAACAAAGAAACGCCTTTATCACTTTCAAGACTGAACAAAATTACTATTTCGCTTAGCAAACACACGGGGCAAGTTCTAGACATCAAATGCAATGCACAGAATAACATACAAACCTCACACACACATGGCACATAACTCACTCAGGATTGGACTCATCAAGATACTCTAGTCAAAGTAGTTAAGCAAATTTAATATTATACAATTTAAGGTACTTATACAAGAGTCAAAAACTGAGCCTAAGCATCACAACCAAAGTACTCACTATTCTCAAAGCATAACAAAGTCAAGAGATATTGCTTCAATTCAATTCACATCACAATGGCTCCTCTCCAAAAAAAATAAAACTACCTACACCCGCTTCAAACAAAACTCTTGGAAAAGAACCGCAGCACAAAGAAAAATCAAGGTGGAATTACTACACTACCTACAAAGAAAATCTTTTTGTCCTTTTTCTTTAGACTTAAATCCCTCAAGAAAACTGTCTAGGAGATCCATCGTCGGTAAGAGTCCAACTTTTCTATTTTTTTTTTCCAAATTTTTTTTCATAGCTTCTAAAATACTACACAACTACGAAATCACAATAAGAGGTTAACATTTTTTCTACATCCTACTAATCATCTAGAGAATTCTCCCACCCCACACTTAAAAGAGTGTAGTGTCCCCAATGCACAAACAAAGCAAAACAATAACAAGGGTGGACAAGAAACTCCCTGAAAGGCCAAAGGCCAAAGCAATAGCGGCTCACGGGTACTCATACTTCCCCCAAGCATAGTCCTTTGTGTGGCACCCCACACTTAGTTCTCACCATCTAACTCGCTTTTGCACTCTTTCAATGACTCTGCCTCCTATGTTTATAATCCTACGAAACAAAAAACTAATACTACAACAATAATTAGATAAAAAATAAAAATAAAAGAAAACAGTAAAGATGGGTTGCCAACAAGCGCCTGAGTTAACGTCGCGGCACGACACTGCTACTCTGCTCAGGCTGGGCACTTTCTCTTCTTCTTTCTTTCATTAAGCCTAGCCTTTTTACACTCTCTCAGAAGATCTCTTTCATCTCTGTCTCTTTTCTCAATCATCCTTACACATTCAGCTTGCAACACCACCTCATCCAACTTTGTCGTCCTATCCGAATCACTACAATTCACATAAGGACTCTGCTCTATCCCCTTCAGTTCTACCGCAGTAATCATGCACAAATCCTCATAATGCTTAGGGAGCTTAAGTGCCTTGTACACATTAAAAGTAATTTCCTCATTGCCAACTCTCATATTCAACTTTCCTTCCCTAACATCAGTAAACGCTCCACAAATAGCTAAGAATGGTCGCCCCAAAATAATGGGTACTTCCTCATCTGCCTCGTAATCAAGAACAATAAAATCAGTAGGAAGAATAAACTTTCCCACTCGAACTAACACATCCTCAATAATTCTTTCTGCATAACTGGTGACCTATCAACCAACTGCAAAGTGATTGTAGTAGTTCTAAGCACCCCCAATCCAAGTTGCTTGAACAAAGAGGATGGCATCAAATTTATACTAGCCCCTAAATCAGACAGGGCTCTACCAACTTCTTGTTTTCCAAGAGACGGAGGAATTGTGAAACACCCAGGATCCTTCAACTTAGGAGGGAGTTTAATTTGAAATCTAGCACTACACTCTTCAGTAAGTGCGACAATTTCAAACTCCGTATGTCTTCGCTTGTTTGCCATAATATCTCTGAGATACCTTGCATACTTAGGCACTTCCTACAAAATTTCCACCAAAGGCAAATTCACACGCACTTGGTTCAAAATATCTAAGAATTTCTTGTACATAGCATCATCTTTTTGCTTTTGCAGTCTTTGTGGAAACAGAGGTGGTGGCCTTGTCACAATTTCTGGCTTTTCTTTCTTATTCTCCTCAACGGGCTTAGGAACTAATTCTCCTGCAGGTCTAGCTGTATACTTCTTTTTCTCTGGAACTTCTTCTAATTCTCTTCCATTTCTCAAGGTAACCGCATTGACTTGAGCCTTAGGATTAGGTTCAGTACCACTCGGGAGAGCTCCAGCAGGTCTAGTATTCTGATTGTTAGCCATTTGCCCAAACTGCCTCTCTAGATTTCTGAACTGTGTGCGCAATTGCTGATTTTCTATCAAGTGCTTTTTCATCATATCAGTCAAAGTCTTTTCTGCTTGTTGTGGGGGTTGAGGTGGATGATTGTAATTCCCTTGAGGCCTGATATTCTGATTTCCACCCCAAGAGAAGTTAGGATGATTCCTCCAGTTCGGATTGTATGTGTTACCATATTGAGCATGTTGATTCATCGGCCCTCTAGCTTGTTGCCCCACGTAGTAGATTGATTCAGGATTCACGGGACATATTTCACTTGTGTGACCTTCACCACATAACTCGCAGCAAGTAGACATCTGTTGCACATGTTGCATCTGTTGTGCGTGGTGCATTGTCATCTTATTCATCTGATTAGCTAATCTCGCTAATTCTGCTCTCATTGCTGAGAAGTCATCAAGCTCGATCACCCCTGCTGCCTTTTGTTTAAGTGCTCTTCGTGGTTCCCCATCTCCTTGCCAATTATTATCATTAGCAGTAAAATTGTTTAGCAGGATCTGGATCTCACTATACGGTCTTGCCATGCAACTACCGCCACATGCTGAGTCAAGATTCATCTTTGATACCTCGTCCAACCCATCAACGAAAGTGTGACCCAACATCTCATCAGTCTGACAATGGTGTGGGCAGTCTCTGAGTAACTTCTTGTATCTCACTACTAGAAATCCGGAAAAAAGTGACCAGTGTTGGTCGCTTAAAAGCGACCAAACGTGCCTGGTCGATATTAAGCTGCTCCCTTTACCTTAGGGACCAAAGTTGGTCGCTAATTAGCGACCAACTTTGGTCTCTCAAGTCGAAGGACAAAATATTCCGGTAAAGATGCTGGCGACCAATTTTGGTCGCTATATTATTTTAATATTATAAATTTTGCGACCAAAGTTGGTCTCATTTATGTAAATTTTGTTTTTTTTATTTATTATTAATTATAAAGTAGCGACCAACTTTGGTCTGTATACGAAATATTATATTTTAAAATCTGGAAAATTGCGACCAAAGTTGGTCGCTATACTATAAATTGTTTAATTATTTTTTTTTAAATAAGCGACCAAAGTTGGTCGCTAAATACATGAATTAATTTTTTATTTATTAATAAGCGACCAATCCTGGTTGCCATATTTCCAGAAATTGTTAATTTTCTTGTAAATAGCGACCAATCTTGGTCGCTTTTTGGGATATCTGGGTTAAATAGCGACCAACCTTGGTCGCTATTTCACAGAAAATTATTTTTTTTAATAGAAATGCGACCAAATAGCGACCAAAGTTGGTCGCTTTTCTTGGTATATTGCTGGCAGGAACTGCCTCCACCTGCCAGCTTACCAAAATTCCTAAATAGGCAAATATGCCAACAACAGCAACAACAAGCAACAACAACAACAACAATTATAACGAACAAAGTATAAAGTTCAAACTTTATACTTTAAGCTAATTAGCAAACTAATAAGTTAAATGTTATTACAGAACCATTCGAAAACCAATTGTATTTGTCTAGCATAAACTAATAAGTTCAAAGATTGTTCTCTACATCATTATCATCACCGTCTGATGAACTTTCTTCACCATGACGGTATCTAGAATGGGCTATTTGTCGATGATGGGAAGAATGACCATGGGGAGGACAGGAGGAATGAGCACGGGGAAGGCGAGCCTCTGGCGATGACTCACGAGACCGGGGAATTGGAAAATTGCCAGAAGCTAGGAGAGTTTTGATCTGCTCTTGCATGCCCTTGCACTGAGCTTGCATGCCAGAGTACTGCATATCTCTAAGCCTTTCTCTCTCCTTGGCGGCTTCTAGCTCGGATGTGAGCTTTGCCACAATCTCCCGCATAGAGGAGAGGCTCTCCCTATCAAGTTGCTCGGCTTGGGAGGAAGTCCCTATTCCTTGCATTCCACACTTATAGCGATGGAATTTCTTATTAGGAAGCCCGTATACCTTCCCCCCTTTTGGACCGCCAGCAGCCTGCGTCCACATTCTCTCAGCATCCTCGTCCGATAGTTGGATTGGCGCGCCGGACTCATTAGGTGGCTGACTGCGTATGAATTGCTCCACTTCAGCTGTGAAGCGACCCTATAAGAAAAATAATATGTGAATTACTATTTCCAAATTTATATAAAAGTAAATCAAAATTCTTAATGAAAAGTGAAAACTTACATGTACAGTCGAGGCTCGGCCCTCGACCCACCTTTCTTGGTCCGTCTCTTTCTTCTTCTTCACAATATGAGTCTCCTTGAAGAGCTCATCTTGGTTCATCGGACGCCCCAACTTTTTTTCCTGAAAACTCATAAATTTTAGTTAATAAACAGAATACATATACTAAGAAAATTAAAATAAATTAAGCAATTACGTACCATTCTTCGTTTTATCGTCCCTAGGCTGACCGCACCTCCAGTGTGCAAGGATCCTCCCTTCTCAGATGCTCGGGCTTTCTTTCCTTTTTCGCTCTTCTCTAAGAACTCTGCTGTAAGCCATTGCCTTTGCAAATCATCCCATAAATCCTGAAGCATCTAGCCAGGCTTCTGGTTCAACTGCCTAGCTTTGGAGAAACAATGGGACAACCGCTTTCGAGCTTTGAGATGGAAGTTTGCAGCCACTTCCGCGCTATAGCGGTGTTCCCATACACACTTGCTCTGTATTTCAAAAGTCAAGTATTATATGGAAATATCATATTTAGATGGAAATATCATAAAAGCTATATTCGATATATTATACTTAGCTTTTATTAGCTAATAATTATTCAAAAGTTAAGTGCATTAACTGCTTATAATATAACATTAGCTAAAAGCTAATAAATGATTATACTGCTTAAAAGAATACTTATACCTTAAATTGATTGAAGATTGCCTCCTTGAGAGCGAATGGGAATTCACTCCAAGTCGCATAAGGACCATCATAAAGCTTTCTGGTGGCTTTGGTGATGATCCTTGTAGTAACATTACTAGGGATGAACCTGCAATTTTATTAAAAAAAATACATTAATATCTTAGTAAAACTGTACTAAACAAAAAAAGTTAAAATAACAAATAACTCTTACCCGTCACCCTCAGGGACTATGATGATCCTGCCTTATTCATCATAATGCACCTCCTCGTCATTAGCAGCATCATTGTCCGAAGCATGTACATCGGAGGCATGTGTGGAAGGTGTAGGGGGTCAGAGCTAGTATCTCGCAGGCGAAGGCCTGCAATAGATGGAGTCCCAGATGAAGATGGCTGCGAGCCCTGGGACTGCGAGCCCTGTGAGTGCGACATAGCTGTATGGGCCGCAAGTGGATGAGACACAGATAGCTGTGACCCGAGTGGCTGTGACACGGATGGCTGTGATCCATGTGGATGTGACATGGATCGATGCGATCCGATGAGCTGCTGATGGATGCGATCTATGTGGATGTGAGACAGGTGGACTGTATGTAAGTCGTACTGGTCCTATGGCCCTGTGAAGAAAGACCTGGCGTCTGCACGAAGGTGTAGGGCTGGACATGCGCTGGCAGCTCAGAATAGCCCTGGGGTGGAGGCGCAGGCACAGGCATAGGCACAGGCATCTGTGAAGAGGCAGGAACGGATTGAGTAGTACCTTTACCCTCCTCTTTTGTTTCCAGGCTTTTTCTCTACCCCGAGAACCAGGTAGGGATCACTGTTACCGGATCTGTGACCCATTGCCTGACATCCGTGCATGACATAATACATAAGCTTAGATTGAAACTCTATAAAAAACTAGCTATAACGATGAGTTATTAAAGAAGAAACCAACTTTTTAAAGCTGATCGACCGTTTATAGTTCCTCGTCCGAGAATATCTTCCTTTCACTAAGTTTGAGCTTCATCAGTGATTATTTCTTCCTCGTTTCTCTATTACATTCTTACTTCGATCCATATCAACTTCTTCCAATATGTGTTCAGGATGTTCCAAATCGATTTTCTAAAAACATTCGTCCACTTATTTGGTAACACTGGACTATATCGTTTTGATATGCAACATCTAACCAACATCTCTCACTTCTACCCTACCCACACATGCCTTAGTTTATTATAACCCCCACCATCAGCCTTATTCCGCCGCAATGGATAAAGGAGCATAATTACACTTGCCTAACATTAATGTGCAATTATGAAAGGGATCATAGCATCATACTCCTGCGTATGAGTAACGCCTCAATTATGTTGTTTGATGTATACTCTTGTACCTCTGTTGGATTGTGGGTCAAACCACTTGCATCTAAAGAGTATCAATTTCTTATATTGGGCCAACCTGAAGTACTCTAGTTCTATTATTTCTTTGAGCACACGACATAATAATCAATATCTCTCATCTTGGTTTGCCATCACCACCTTGAACCCACACCCCACTGTTGTTGCTATTTTATTTTAGAGCAATCCTTCTGTATGAAACTTATAAACCATTCACCAACGTACTGTGTATCTGTTGTGAACCTCAACCCCAGGTCCCAAGACTACATCTTTTTCAAAAAATTTGATTTACACCATCTATTTGGATCATTTACTAACAAATCGTTGTAAATAAATTCATAATTTAGCATAACTTCCAAACATTGTTTATACCTACATTAGTGTATAGAATATTTTAAAGGAGAAAACTTACAAATTGTTTGAACCACGTATCAGATCTCGTATATTACAGCATCATGGCCAAATTGAACCACAAGAGTGACTGTGACACATCAAATATATTTTTAGTAGTTGTATTGAGACTGTAATCACAGTAATTTTAGATTTTGATAAACTGACTAAATCAATACTTACTTGAGATATGGTACAACTTCAGGACAATTTTAGCAACACGTAAAGTGTAGGCTGACTTGTACTCCATATTCACTCAAAACTTCTCTTTGTAAACATCTTTAGAACATCGGCCTGGTTGATTGAATTATGGACATAGGCGGATATAATGGATCATTCCTAAGGGTCGACCGTGCTGCCTGTTGGGCCTATCCTAGCACATGCCCATATACTCTCAAAATAATAAGAAACAAAAATGGGCAGTTTCCTTCGCAAGATAAGCTTCGCATAGAGATCTTCAATCCATATTCCTCTGCTTAACCAAATTGTTTGCATTGCCAATTGTCCTAGCATAATTTTTCAGGTTAGCAGAAGAAAATTTGTTTAAATTAAAACAGAGAAATATACATCAAAACCTAAACTATTTACGCTCTCAAAGGGATACATCCATCTGCATGAACAGGCCCTCCAAGTCGCGCCTCGTGTACAGGGTGGATTGAAAGGGTGTTCCATCACATCAAAAACCCAATGGAAATATCTTTTCCATCTTAGTAGAAGTTACACAAATGTTTTTGATCCATCCGTTGCTAGGTTTTCTTCCCTTAATGTGGAAGAACATAAGTCTTTGAAAAACAAACTAATCTCTGTGATTGTTTCCAGATTCGTTCAGCCAAAACCAGAAAATGCAATAGGCACTTAAAGGGTCTCCATGAAAACATGACATAAATAGACTTTTCAAACATGGCTCAACTTCCCTAACCTCCATATCAACTTTTTCCCAAAAATTCGACGCATAACCCTCAGGCATCTTCAACTCGTTACCGCAATCACAAATCTGCCGTCTTTCCTCCAAACGTGAATGTGTAACTTGC